ACACACACACACACACACACACACACACACACACACACACACACACAAACTCTGTCTTCCTGTTTTTCTGTGACTTTCTCTTTCTCCCTTTCTCTACCTCTGTATCCTTCTCCCTCTTTTTCTCCTTCCTTCCTCCCCTCCTTCCTTTCTTCTCTGTCCTCATGGAGCTTACTTTTCCAGTGCTGTACCACAACAATATAAATTTAAAGACTCTTTACCCTGCTACCCAGCTTGCAAGATACATAACCCCAAAGCAAACACCTCAGTACTTCGGTCTTTAATAAAAATGTAAGAACTGCAGAAGTAGAACATACACACTTTTAAATCTAATTACTAAAGTCAGTAGTACTCTGATATGCTAATAGTAAAGGTCTTTTATTTCACCATAAAGCAAAAGTGTGCAAAGTAAAATTTTCTATTCAGCACTCCAAGTGCAAATATCTTACCTCTGGCCCATTTATACTCTGTTAGTGTGTCTGACCATCAAATGACCGTGGTTAATAATTCTCGAGGAGGTGGTGATCATCCCAGGCATCTTCAGAGGCTGCCCTTAGAGCAGGGCTTCATCTTCCTCTGCAACAGATAAGATACTGTCTCTTCAGGTGGCTGTGGTCCAAACCAGCAGACAGTTTATGGGCAGTCTTTCTGGTTAAGAACATCTGTGCTCATTGTAGGGCTAACACCAGCTTTGTCCTTTTTCAGCATGTTGCTTTAGGGGTAACCGTGCCCTTCCTTGTTGGACTGCTCTTGCTCAGGTTCCCGGCTACTGCTACCATTCTTTTGTACTAGGCACACTCATGCTGATGTAAGCTGGTGGTGATGGTTTATAGGTTCATGGGTTGAAATTTTCTGAGCTGAATAAATATATTTATATACAGTGCATATGTATAAATATATACGAGGTACATACATTTATATCATATATAAACACATGTGTATGTTTGTATATATATGTATATATGTATACATATACATATTCATATATACATATATTATGGAAAAACAGCAAAAGTAATTAACCGGGAGTATGTAAGTTAAAGGATAATTTTTTCTTTTTTTTAATTAAAAGGGCTGCTACTACACCAGCAAAAGAGAGGCAGAGATGGATACAGTATTAAGGAAATCCATGCCCGGGGGTGGAGGATAGTTGATTTCAACAAAGCTTTGCAATCTCATTTATAATGATGCCACAGATTTTTATAATTGTTACTTCCTTCACAGTTCTGTTATACAAATTAGTATAAGGCTGCTGTAGATGTGTTCTCATGTCCAAATCTATACACACTGAGCTTCCCTGGTTTAGTTTTGTGAAAACCTAAAGTATTTATTGAATTATCATTCTAGTTATTCTTGCTACTTCTCCCACAGATGGCTGGCATGGAAGTTGGGAAGAAGATTTTTGCTATTAATGGTGACCTGGTTTTCCTGAGACCTTTCCATGAAGTCGATTGCTTCCTCAAATCGTGCTTAAATAGCAGAAAGCCGCTGAGAGTCCTAGTGAGCACAAAGCCAAGAGAGTAAGTGCTGCAGTGATAGGTGGATAAGTAAAATGGGAAAGCTGACTACCAGGTAGTTGTTTTTTATCATTAGGCCCCACTGTTATAGAACATTTACGTCTCCCCAGCAGGATGAAAACAGGTGTCTAGATGCTAGAGGAAATGGCATTGTTTATTGATGGGTGCTCACTACTGAACTGAATGGTGTTACTTTTCTTTTTTCTTTTTTTACCGTCCAAACTTTGCTATGCTGAGTTATGGTGAGTTTGCCTGAATGAAAAATAGTTTAGTGGAACATCTGAAAGTCAAGAAAGAAGAACTGCATGTTTGGCTATATGAAGTGTTTTTAATTCCACACAGTCTATATTGTACTGCTCATACACATACAATCCAATCTAGAAGGTTTGTCACGAACGTGCATGCTTAGTAAGTCACCCTTTCCTTTAAAGAAAATCAACCCCAAACTCTGTTGATCCCTCTGCTTCTAGCTACATAAGTAGAAAAACACCAACATTTGTGTTTGTCGTTCAATATTATGACAGAAGAGTTGAGAGAACTTAAAGGAATAGAGTATTACTTTGACTCATAGCTGTAGAAGTTTCAGTCTATCGTGACAAGAGGGAATGGCGTTGGAAAATTGGTCTCCCGATGATGCTCAGAAAGAGGGAGCAAGAAATGGCCCCAAGACAAGACATACCCTTTAAAGGCATGTTTCCAGTGACCCAGCTCCTCCTGATGGATACACGTCTTAATATCTCAGTATCTGCGAACTCCTCCATGGCTCATCCAATGGATGAAGTCAGTGCCTTCATGATCCAGTCATCTCTAGATAATGCTGCCATCTTGAAACTCTTCAACATATGAGCCTTTTGGGGCATATCTGAAACCTAGCAATTTCTCCAGAGGAAAACATTTTCCCTTCAAATCTTAACACGCACAAACAGCCACTACTATTTTGGAATCAAATGCTGTTTTTTATCAAGTATGGTTACATACCATATCAATATACATATAGAATAGGGCAATGCTGTAGGTGAGGGTTCTTCAGTTAAAACATTTTTGTGTGTGGCTCACGGGCTTTTCTCCTCTAATTTGTTTCTATCCATGACCCGGCATTTCTCTCTCAGATTAGTCCTGAAGTGTTGCATCAGCTGGTTGAGATAACGTGTACATGAAGTATTTCACAAAACATGTGAGTGAGCTATGTCAGAATTACTGCTCGAAATTTGTATCATTAGCAAAAAAAAGCAACTCCTTTAATTTTAAGATGAATGAAGGACGTCACTGAAAACAACCAAGATTGTGTGTTTTTTTTTTTTTTTTTTTTTTTAACAATTTGGGAAGATGTTATAACCATAGCTGGCATCCTTACAGACTTTAAAATACTTTCATATGTAAAATATTATATAGTATACACACATTCAGGACTAGCTGATGTGTCATGTGTACACCTTTTTTTTTTTTTTATTTTTTTTTTTTTTTTTAGTCTAAGGGCAGTGTAATGGGCTGGATTCTCCCCAGTACATCTGTTTGTGACATTAAGTCATTAATGGTCATGGATAGTTTTGCTCATAGTGCAATGCACTTGAGTGGCCCAAAAGTATAAGTGTGACTTGTTAATACAGTTTCTTACAGAGGACCCTGGGCTAGAGGGCAGCAAAGAACCACAGCAGTTTCTTCTCTGTACATATAATTACAATTGATTTTTCCCCTCTTTATCTAGCTTTGCCTAGGGTAAGGCTACCTTAGTTGCCTTTCTCTTGACACATTTAGGACATTTAAAAGGAACAAAATGGTTTAGGAAGGAACACAGAGATATTTGGAACAATTCTTAGTGAGTGTAAGTATGTGCCTTAGGGCTACCTGGTTTACCCCTAAAATAACTTATCTGCTTTAATAAACATTTCACTAACTGGAAGCGTACAGAGCCAGTGATGTCAGGGCTAAACAGATGTGAGGAAATCTTCAGACATGAGAGTCTCAGGCTTGTGTTTTCCAGTCCTTCCCTACGTGCTGCTGTGTAGCATCTAGAACCCGAGGCCCAAGCCTCTCCTGCACCACCCGCTTCCACTTGTCATTTCCATGTACTCATTGGTGAGATGGCAGAAGGTTGCTCTGCCATAGACCTGTCAGAACACTGAGCAAACCTTGGTGACGTGCTTGATGCTCACTGCACGTATCCTACAATAGGAAGTTCTCACTAGTGTCATTCTGTGCTGCCTTAAATGGTTTTATAAATTTATTTCATTGCTTCTTTACTGCATCAAGAACCTATTTTGCATTGTACTTAAAAAAAATAACTTTAAAAGATGACATAATCAAGCCAGTCAGTTGACTCAGCATATAAAGGCACTTACTGCCAAACCCATGTTGTAGAAGGAAAGAACTGACTCCTGAAAATTGTCCTTTGTTACACACACACACACACACACACACACACACACACACTCAATACATGAATAAATATTAAAAAGATCGCATACTTATATATTCAATGTACTTGAAATGTATCTACATTCCCCTTATATTCTCCCTGTCCTGAGTCTGATAGACCATTCACATATATTAAAGAATAATCTCTATTTAAGAGACAATGTGGTAATAACAGCCACACAAATTTATGTATAGTAAGAATAAGGAGAAAGTATGGAGTAAGTACATTAATATATTTGACAAAATATAAACAAGGTAGAGTGGTGTTTGATGTGGAAAATCCTCTTGTAAGTCACAACATTTATTAATTGGCATATTAAGACCATTTTTATATGTTCTTTAGACAGTTATACTGGTTTCTATTGAGGAGAATGTCTTTAAAATTTTTTAAGTTTATATACTAACTTTCCATCCCAAGTATGGCCCCCTCCCTTCTGTCCTCCTGGTCCCTCTCTTCCACCCTCTTTCCCCTATTCTCTTTCCCCTTGTCCTCAGAAAAGGGAACACCCCAGCAAGCCACCCAGCACATTAAGCTTCATCAGGTCTGAGCTCCTCCTCATCCACTGAGGTCAGGCAAGGCAGCCCTGTCAGGGTGAAGTGATCAAAAGCAGGCAAGAGAGTCCATGTCATAGACAGCACCCGCTCAGCTTACTAGGGAACCCACATGAAGATCAAACTGCCCGTTGGTTACATATGTGCAGGGGACTAGGTCCAGTCCATGCCTGTGCTTTGGTTGGTGCTTCCTTTTCTGGGTCTAGGTTAGTTGACTGTGTTGGTCTTCTTGTGACATTCTTGTCCCCTCTCTCACCTTCTACCCTCAGCCTGCCCACTCTTCCGTGGACACCCCAAGCTCTGCCTAATGTGAGTCTCAGCATCTGAGTGGATCAGCTGCTGGGTGGGGCCTCAGAGGACAGTTAAGTTAGGCCCCTCTCTGTGGAGGAGAATGTCTTGTAAAGTAAAATTCTCATAAATCCAAGCTCGAGTATATGCTTTGTGCACTGGGGGCTGTGTCCTGGCATCCCAAACCAGTCTTCAGGCTAAATCCTGGTAGAAACTCTCAAAAACCCACTGTGGGGAGCAGACATGTGCTCAGAGACACTGACGTACGCCATGGCAAGTAAGAGCAGTTATGGTCATCTTATTAGAGTTGATACCACAAAAATACTTCCATTCTTCATAGTTCCATTTGAAAAATGAGCATCCAAAGCACATAGATTTCTAGTTTTCCCTTCATCCTGTGTTTCTTATATGTAAAGCGTTAGAATTATTCTGAAAGCTTTGACACATTCCAGGTACTTATAATGATCTATTCATTATGTGTTCACCGACATCTGCGTGCCTAATAACGCTGAACTCGTCATTTTTCTTGTCACTCTGCGAGAAAAAGCTGACATAAGCAACTCGAGGGGAGGAAGGGTTTATTTTAGCTGATGGTTTCCAAGGATTCAGTTGACGGTTGCTTGGCTCCACGTGCTAGGGCAGAACATGATGGCGGTTGGAGTGTGCAGTGAAAAAAAGGACATTCTCCATCTGATTGGACACTGAAACCAGCAAAATGGAAAGGCAGGAGACAGTTAGGAGGAAATACAACACTGAACAATACACCTGCAAGACCCGGTCCACGTTCAGGTCCCACTTTCTACTTTTCATCACTTCCCTACAATTTCAGAATATTATGAGTTCATCGAGGCCTTGCACCATCAAGTAGCCCGGATCTCGCAGGATCCACTGACTTCCCGTTTTCTGTCGAGTCCCCAGGACATGGTTCTGTTGAGGACATTTCACATTCAACCATAACAAAGGCATTTCCAATCTTCTGCAGTACCTTATGATTTCTGTGATATTTTCCGTAAATTGACTTGAGTATAACAAAGACAGGGTTTTCTTCCAAGTGAATTTTTAGCTGTCACAGGACTGGTAACATCTCAGAAAACTCATGAAGTAAAGTAGCTCCAGCAGGCTATTTGTGCCACGGGACAGACAGATTACTGCAACATTCTCCAGACTGAGTGATTATTTCTCACTTATGTAAAGAGGAATGGGAGGTGGGGTAGAGGAAGGGACATCTCCATTCTTTCCAACGAAATTATTTTGTCTTAAACAGCAGTGACTTGCGCCTCCCTCAGGCTTCTAAAGTTTCCTTGGGGGTGGTCATCTTTGGGTCAGGCTCAGAGATCATGAGGCCCCAGGAGGGACTGAGTGGAAGTTTTGGTTGGGTTACTCATATTTTCTTAAATTAGCTTTGGTAATTTAAGTAGTATCCTGTTTGGAGAGACAAAAATAAGAGAAGCAAATACAACAGAATTTTCTTTGATTCCAGCTGTGTTTTACACTTGATAACATCAAGGAATTTCTCCAAAAGGCTTTGCAGTAGCTAATTTCTACCAGAAATAGAACATTTCCCTTGATATTAATTTTTTTTTTTTTGCAATAGCAATGTGGTTTTCCCATTGGAAAAAACATGATTTCCAACGATCAGGTTTTTATTAGAGTTTAATCATGTTTTGTTAGAGGAATTCTAATTTTTTTTCCCTTACATAGATTTCATGGTGTGTACACATTTGGATTTAAAAAAATGTACGGTAGTCTTCCTGAAGAGTGGAAGTCAATCTCAGATGGCAGAATTGTTGGATGGGCAGGCCTTCCTCCGAATGGGCTGAGAGGCTGCTGAGAATTACGGATAACCTGACAGCAATTAAGCCCCCACACTTGGAAGCTGAGAGTTAGTTCAGGCCAAGTGAATTTCTGTTCACCGTATACAGAGCAGGCTGCCAATTTATTTCATCCTCACTAGCTCAGCTATTCACTCTCTCCTTTCCTTTTAGTTAGCTTTAATTTTAGTGAAATGACAAGTCTCTTTTACAGATATAATAACCATTTGCTGTTCAAATGAAATATATACAGTCCTGTACACCAGAAAATATTTAATTAAGAATAGGGAATGTACTGGTTCTCTGACTCCTGTCATTCATATATGCAAACTATGCTATGATATATAACTTCTTTTATAATAGCACTTTCAGACTTCCACTAGACAGGAAATTTGCATTTTTATCTTTGATTGCTTACCTGGGTTACATTAGAGGCTGCAGTTACAGGCACAGCCTTCAGGCCTAAATGCAGCTGTTGCTTTCTAGAGTGTTCCCGGTACAGGGTCTTCCTTGAGCTGCCTCCAACAGATGTGCCTGTCTTCAGACTGTCTAGTGTGTCCTTGAAGGGCTACTGATATTTCATTTCATAATTAGCTCATCCTTTGAAGGCCACTGTTGAATACTTGGGCATGAAGGGCTGCCTGTCAAAATTGACTGCACTGTAATCATTTTGTTTTGCTCTCTACTGCAGCCTGCAGCGGATGATATTCATCTTTATGCTACAGTGTTCCTTCCTCTGTAGAGTTCTCTGCTACCTAGGCTTGCTGTCTGATTTCTGGCTTCCTTCCATGGAATGTCTCCAATGCTGGTGACAAACTGCACATCCCTCCCTGGTCTGCCATGACAAGGGTCTCATGTTCCCCTTCTCTTCTAACTCATTTTTGTGCGGTTTCATTGCTTCTCTTACTCAGGCTTTCCCTCTTGATGTAGTATTCTTCCAAACACTTACTACTCAGATGCTAATGTTAATCATATTCTTGGATGTTTCCCCTGAGTTGTTGCAGAACTCTGTCCTCTGTAATTTGTCTCTTATTGGTGTCCTTGGATGATGTTTCCAACAGGTAGAAATGTATTAACTGTGTGTTTTGTTTGTATTTCTCATTTATGATGTAATTTCACAAGATACCCATTTTCTGTTTGTAATAGTAAGCCAATGAGGGCATGCTGCTTTTTGTCTTGAGTATTTAACTAGCTTAGCATTATTCAGGGCAGTGTGCCACTTGTAATGACTACTCTTGGGTATCAACTGAGACACCAGAGGAGAGGGAACCTCAACTTAGCAACTGCCTCCATCAGATTGATCTGTGGGCATGTCTATGGGGCATTCTCTTGGCTGCTAATTGATGGAGGATGGCCCAGGTGAGTTGTGCCACCCCTGGACAGGTGGGTCTTGCATAGGAAAGCAGAAGAAGGTGGGCAGAAGAAGGAAATAAGCCTCTGAGCGGCATTGTTCCATGGTCTCTGCTTCACCTGTTGCCACAGCCTTCTTCATAGCTTCCCTTGGTGATTGACAGTAATCTGTAAGGTGGAATAAAGCCGCCACAACTTGCTTTTGGCCATGTTTTTTTAGTCCGGCAACAGAAACTGACTAGGATAGAAATTTAATCTCTTTAATCCCCATCAGCATACTGCAAAATAAGTTTTAACAGTGATCGCCTCCAGCAGTTTCTGTGGCATTATTTTGCAACTGAGAACTTAAGGAACTTGTTCAACCCCAAGTTTCCTGAGCTACAAAGTAGACAAATAACGACTCAGAGATAGTTAGCTGGCCCCATTGTCTGTTCTTTCCCACAGATGCATCTATGTATGATTTGTTCAGAGTGGTCACTGTATGGCATCTCTGTTATGTACATTGTGTTGGGGAATGGCCAGCATTATCTCCCAGGGTTTCTTACTCAGTGGCATTCTCCAGGTAGACCCTCTCTAGCTTTCCACTTCCCTCTGGTCTTGAGCCAGCATCAGTCTCCCTTCTTAGGCTCCTGTATTAGAAAAATTCATCCAGGAAACTGTTATAGATAAGGCAGTGAAAGGTCCAGTTTGAACAAGCGAGGAAGCAAGACTACACTATCACAGAGAGCAGCCTGAGTTGAGCAACCACAGTTCTGGCTTCCACCTACTATTCCCTCTCCTGTTCTTCCCCCGAAGGGGGGAACTTCTAACAGTGGTGAGAACCTTCCTCAGAAACCCCTTTCACACAAAATTTTATTTGATCTAAGGAGATGAAGAAGATGCAAGAATATGCCTAAGAGATTTTGGTGTCCAGGAGGTTGAAAAGTCTAGTAGGGGAAAGGTCAACAGCACTGCTCATGCTCCCTCATGAGGAAGTTTGGGCAGTTGTTTGAGCTGACCTAGCTAGAGTGGCCTCTGCCACCTATTGTTCTTTGCATCCTGTTTTGGGGGCCCGAGCTGGGGAGCCCATCTTGGAGTCTACCGCCATTATATTTACATCCTGTTGAGTGCCATGAGCTGTCTCAGCTGGAGGAACCACTAGCACCTATCTTATCTTATGCTCCATTCTTGGGGAGAGTGCCGTTGGTGAGTTCCTCCCAACGCTAAACTCTTGCCTGACATCTCCGGATGTATGCACTGCTACAGTGACTATTGTCAGAACCAGCTGTGGGTTTACATTTGTCTCACCTTATTTTCTGGTTCCTTTTAGGACAGTCAAGATCCCAGATTCTGCGGATGGGCTTGGGTTCCAGATCAGAGGCTTCGGCCCTTCTGTTGTGCATGCGGTGGGAAGAGGTGAGACATCTGCCCTTGCTTGGGTGAACTGCGTTCTCACATGCTTTGCCTCTTGCCTGTTCAACTGAAACGTTGTCACGGTGTGAGGAAGTGTCATAGCGCTCGGAATTGTCTCCTTTCACTCTAGTAACTCACTGAAAGTACATTCTGGAAATAATATATTCAAGAGTAAAACCTTAAGAATTCAAACCGTGTGTCGTTGCTCAGATCTGCTTTTCCGGCATTCAGGAAAGCCAAAGCAGGATGGTTCAAATCTGCAGCCAGCTCGGGTGAGAGTAAGACTTTTCTCCAAACACACGAGAGAGCTGGAGAGATTGCTCAGGAGGTGATGTACTTGCCCGCAAGCCTGAGATTGTGAGTTAAGATCACTAAGACTCACATTAAAAACAAAATGCCAGGAAGACCTTTGTGTGTCAGCAATTATCTCTAATCCCAGCTCTGGGGAACTCCCTGGGCTTTCTGGCTGTCTTATACAGCCTGATGACAAATTCTAGGTTCAGTGAGAGACTCGGCTCAAAAACTGAGGTACAGTGATCTAGGAAGGACACCTGGTACCAATCTCTGGTCTCCACATGAGCATACATATGTACATACCACACACACACACACACACACACACACACACACACACACACACACCACATACCACACAAACATTCCTCACACACATACTCACTCATACTCACATAACTCTCACACACACATACACATAAAGTCATTCACAAAACCCGTTAATAAATAAATAAATAGCACCCCCAAAATCCTTTAGCATATTTATTTTTATTTATTTTTTTATTTTTACAATTCTTAGAACACATTTTTATTGGTGATTTGCCACAAGATGTAAATTTTGCCCCCAAAGCCTCACCTCTGATCTATTATGATGACAAAACTGCAATGTGTACTTATATTCTGATTCCTTCATTCTATTTATTTATTCATTTATTACAGTTCATTCACTTTGTATCTCAGCTGTAGCCCCCTCCCATATCTCCTCCCAACCTCACCCTCCCTCCCTCTTCTCCTCCCGTTCCCCTTCCCTAGTGCACTGATAGGGGAGGTCCTCCTCCCCTTCCATCTGACCTTAGTTTATCAGGTATCTTCGGAACTGGCTGCATGGTCTTCCTCTGTGGCCTGGCAAGGCTGTTCCCCCCTCAGGGGGTGGTAGTCAAAGAGCCAACCCCTGAGTTTATGTCAGAGACAGGCCCTGTTCCCCTTACAAGGGCTTTGGTATATTATTATCATTACAAATTTAATTGAAGAATGACAACCACAGTCATGATTTTTTTTTGTACATTTTGGTTTAAATTAATGATAATTTTAAGGTTATATATTTGTATTTTTCTTAGCAGCAAATATATTTTAGGGTTTTGGGCAGTAATTTAAAAATGTGAGTTTTCAGGCTTTGTAGACTCCTGTAAGCTTGATATCCTGGTGCTATACATTTTATTCAACTTTTTTTCTTTGAGTCCTCAGTAAATCTCATCATGAAATTCATTCTAAATCAAATCATTTCAGTGCCTAAAAGCCCGTTTTTATTTTACTTTACTTCTTTGAAAAGCAAATGAGAAATAAAAAGCTCTTGTGTTATGTGTTTTCATTCCATCCTGACACCAGGAACATTTTGAAAGGGCGTTTCTATCAAAATCATATAATATAAAATTAACTAGTGTGCATATGATTAAAAAAGAAACCTTCCTTCAGAAAGAGTATCTTTCCACTTAGAATTCCACAATGGATGGATAAACATTTGAAGCCTTTCTAACAGCTCTTTCAATACTGTAGAACAAATGTATAAGGTGACACAACCCATCCCTTCTGCTTTCACTAGCCCGGAACAGAAGTTTGCCTCGTGCCTGGACACAGTCACCGCAAACCTGAATGTGTGGAGCTGTGGCCCCCATCGCCGAGTGGGTGGCCACTGTGTTCATGCTTTTTGTTTTTTAAATGGGGGGCCCTGTTGTCTTTCCTTCCCAATTTTATTTTAATCCAGTGGTGATTCATTGTCAAATTATGCCACAAGGGTCACCGTGGTCATTCTTGCTAGCATTGCTGCTTCCAGGCCACTAGAGTTCAGCCTTGGATTAATCTAGACATCTTCAGCTCTTTTAACAGCTGGGGGGGGGAGAAAAAAGAAAAAAAGAAACAACACAACACAATCAACTCAGCAGTCTGGCAGAGTTATGGACCCTGTGCTTCCTGGAGTACTGTGTCTCTGTCCTGCTGAGGTCTTGGTGCTATTCAGCTGTCTCTTCACAGGATCCTGCTCTTCTGATTCTTTCTCCTTCTCACCCTTGCCTCCTGACTCCCAAGATGCACTTCTTTCCTACCTCACAGGCACCCAGGCTCTAAGACATGTGTCCTTCAGCATCCTCCAAGTACAATAAAGTTCAGACTCCAGAGCCTCCCCAACAGGCAGCTAGGATGCCTGGAGAGGGGCTCGCTCTCAGTCGGTCTCATTTTCACCCACTGTAACAATTCTTAGCTCACACTCTCCCCAACCAACCCCAAGCTTGCACACAAAATTGTATGTCCAGATGGCTAGTGATTTTCTGACTTAGAGTATTGCTCTCTGCTGAAGTGTCTCTTCTCGCCTAAGGCTCAGTTCAGTTTAGGAAAACCATTTCTAAGGATGAGCCTTAAGAGAGGACTGAACAGAGAAAAAAAAGGTTGTTTTTGTTGTTGTATTGCTTTTTTGTTTGTTTTCTTTTTTGATGAGACAGGGTGTACATCTCTGTGTAGTCTTGGCTGTCCTGGACTCGCTTTGTAGACCAGGCTGGCCTCAGACTCACAGAGATGTGCCTACATCTGCCTCTCCGAGTGCTAGGATTACAGGCATGTGCCACTGTGCCTGGCAAAAATGTGTATTCTTAAATATAAAAGTTTAAAAATTTGTTTGTGATTCTTTTATGAGTGAATTGCTTGCAATAGAAATCTTTTCCACTATATGGTAACTTTTATGGACATTGGTTTTATATATGTGTGTGTGTGTGTGTGTGTGTGTAAAAATTCATTAACAATCTTTGTTCATGTTGATTTTGCTCAGACTTAAGAAAATCTTAAGTCTACAGTTAGGACATGCCATGTTCATATGAACATAGATACATTTGCATTGGTACAGATTTATGTGCCTGTGCACAAAAAGTGACTGGACGATTGATGGCTGTTTAATTCCATTGCTCACAGTTCTCTGGTTCCCAAACTCTCATTTATCTTCCAGAAACCAGTCCTAATTGCTTATTGATTTGATTTTTTTTTCCGTACAAATTTCTTTTTAGGACTAGGGAGATGATTCAATTGAAGTGCTTGCACTGTTTGTTGGACCTGAGTTCGAATCTCCAGCACCCACATTTAAAAACAAAAACAAAGAAACCAAGCAAACAACAACAACAAAACTAGTTCACTCCTAGAAGTCTAGCACTGGAGAGACAGAAATAGGATAGCTCCGGGGGCTTGCTAGACAGCCAGTCTAGCTAATAATTTAACTTCAGGGTGGGTGGGAAAGCCCCATTCCAAAAAATAAAGTGAAAGGTAATCTAAAAAGCACTCATTATTGACTTTTTGTCTATGCTTGCAATACACACACACACACACACACACACACACACACACACACACACACACAGAGAGACACATGTGCATGTGTGCCATTCACATGAACATGCACACCTATGCACACACAGAAGAAAGACTGCAAGATTTCAAAGAATTCATTTTTATGTGCACATTAAATTGTTGGTGTTTGAAAAACAAGAGTAATATTATCTCAGCATTAAGGGTTTTGTAAGCAAAGTAAATAAAGTGTATGTTTCTGGTCTTCCACATTTTTTTTTTTTTACCATATATTTAGAAAGTTAGATTGACTAGACATTGAAAGAGAAACATCTGATTAGCCTGTAAGGGTCACTCTGCGATACTCCTTCAAAATAATTACTGTGGAGGCAGTGGAATATTGTATTAATCCCAGTTTGGATCTTGGGTAAAGAGCCAGAAAGATTGAGGGTCACTGTTCTCTGAACTAGATTCATCAGGAACATTTTAGGTATGCGTTGATAGTTTCCAATGGCTTCCATTGTTCTGCACTTGATGCTGGGGTATTCTTTTGTGGACATTTGATTTTGACAGTTTCCCTTGTTTATTTATATAAAGGTACCGTGGCTGCAGCAGCTGGCCTTCACCCAGGACAGTGTATTATCAAAGTAAATGGAATCAATGTCAGCAAAGAGACACATGCCAGTGTCATCGCACACGTGACAGCCTGCCGGAAATACAAGCGTCCAATGAAGGTACATTCAGGATCAGATTTAACTGAAAACTTGCGTGAAATATTTCAGGGACAGCATAGGCTAATGCATGTAAAGCTTTTGGTCTTCAATTTTCTTCCGATTTAAGCACAGCACTGTGAATTTCATTATGAATGTTTTATCTTATGAGTTAAGCCTAAGTGGTTTTGGCTATGTTTAAAAAATTACATTTTTATCATTACATGTTATTCTTATACCCTAATTGCTTGTTTAAAAACAGGTTCTGGGGCATTTTCCCCTCTTCCTTCTGTCCCTCTTTCCTTTTTAAATGCCATCGTGCCTGGGGGCTGAAGCAAGGATTGGATGCATACAAGACAGCAAGACAAGTTCCCACCAATGAGCTCCTTTCCTAGCTTGTGTTTCTGCTAAGAGTTTACCAGTGTTAAGTCTACAGCTATGAAATGTTTTCTTGAGATACTTTAGAATATATAGTGGTCAAGAGTGTGTGTGTGTGTGTGTATATATATATATATATATATATATATATATATATATATATATATATATATACGCTTCATGACAAAAATTCTATGAAACAGTATTGACTGTAGATTTTATAGAGTTAATTTTTAGATGTAACTGAATTTGAATTTTTTATAATTTTTTTTTTAGTTTGATCACAGGTTATTTACTTTGTATCCCAGCCATAGCCCACTCCCTCATTCACTTCCAGTCCCACAATCTCTCCCTCATCTCCTCCCTGCCCCTTTCCAAGTCCACTGATAGGGGAGGTCCTCCTCCCCTTTCATCTGACCCTAGCTTATCGCCAGGACTGGCTTCAGTGTCCTCCTCTGTGGCCTAGCAAGGCTGCTTCTCCCTCGGGGTGGGGGAAGGTCAAAGAACCTGACATTGAGTTCATGCCAGAGACAATCCCTGTTCCACTAACTAGGGAATCCACTTGGATACTGAGCTGCCATGGGCTATGCAGTTTCATCTTTTGGTGGCATTTAACGGATCAGAGGATAACACTTAAAAATTCAAATCCATGGTTGGAGAAACAGTCTCATAAAAGACCCCTGTGCCCAGATATATTTGGTCCTTGTGGAGCTCCTGTCCTCTCTAGGTTGTACTAACTCCCCCTTCTTTCTATGATGCCCTGCACTCTGCAGAAGTTTTGGTTATGAGTCTCAGCATCTGTTTTGATACACTGCTAGGTAGAGTCTGTGTCTGTAGTGTTGAGGATTGGGCCTAGAGCCTCATGAATATAAGGCATGCCCCTATTCCCGAGTTCTACCACATCTACAAAACCTAGCTCTCATTTTAGTGATTTATAGCAGCACACTAGCTAGAACAATTGTGGAGCTGATTCAGAGAAAAGTCATTGTGACACATTATATTACACTTAAGTAGTTGAGTTCAATTTGATTTATCATCTTATTTATAAACCGTAAAGCCATGGAACCCTTGAAGCGTTTATTTGGAAATAATTTCATCTGTCTTGTCTCTCTAAATAAGATTGGAACTGCTGTTCAATTAAAATGTAGGATGAGTTATGTACGATAGGAAAGGATGTCCCATGACTTGGAAATTCAGTACGGTGAGAGATGTTCTTCCAAACTCTCACACTTGTTTGATTCATAATACCATTAATATATTAAACATAAGTGTCTGTTAGGACCTTAAAATGGTGTGCATAATTATAGATAATTGGTGCTGCAAATAATTGCCCATTAGCATTTGCTTATTCTAAGGTATAATTTATATCTCACTTAAAAGTATGCTTGAGACCTTCAGTAAGACATTTGAGAACTGTATCCTATTTTAAGGAGTGCATCTTAACGATAAATATGTAGAGCACATCTGAAGATAATTTAAGATAGAAAAAGTCGGCATGTTGAATTGTCATTGGCTGTCCTTTCTGATATTTTATTTCTTTTTTCAAATTTTATTTACTTCATTGTTAAACTAGAAAAATGAACAGACAAGCTGCTCAAGCGTCTCTCTAAAGTGGGGCTATGAAGTTAATACACATTCTGGCAACTGTACAGTGTCTCTGAGAGTTCTTCCTTCCCTCCCCTCCCCTCCTTTCCAGCAAGATTCCATACAGTGGGTTTATGATAGCCTTGAGAGTGCTCAGGAAGACCTCCAGAAGTCCCACTCAAAGCCCCATGGAGACGAGGCAGGGGATGCTTTTGACTGCAAAGTAGAAGGTAGGTAGCTTTTTTTTTCCCCTGTGTGCCTGTGCTATTCTTTTTCATAGTCCTTGTTTCTGCTCCCAGGTACCAGGGTCTTATATTTTCGAGTTGTGACTTGATGCCAAATTTATATGTCATTTCAGACATGTAAGCAGTACCGGAGTGGTTGACATGTAATGCTATATCCTATTTTGTAGATTGGGTATTTATTTGTTTATTTATTTATTTAGGGTTCACCTACTTTGTGATCCAGGCTAGCCCAGAATATGCAATGTTCTTCCTGCCTTTGCCTCCTAAAAGAGGGGTTACAGATGTGCTTTGCATGCTCTGCAGCAGGCCGCCCTTCAGGCTTTTTCTAGATTTTTCTCATTTAGCCATCAAAACAGAAAGTTTCACCAGGTACCTGATACACTCTTTTGGGAAGAAGAAATTGAACGATTGAACGTGTCTAGGTCAAGGGTCTGGTGGGCTAGTGAAGTCTTGGAGCAAGGTGAGATGGGGATCCAACCTAGAATTTCCTTCTTGGAGGTGAATGCCATTTAAACATTTCTATTTCTATGTGGCTCACCCATAGCAAGCTCCCAGGAAGCCAGGCAGAAATGCAGATTCTCTGCCTCCACCCCAGGCCTGATGGATCAGGTCCCCATTTTCATAAGATCTGCTTCATATAGTCATGAACATATAAGAAGACGTAGTGTTGATATAGTCTGTAGCTCTTTCAAAGTAGACCCCTGGCTCAAGTAATTTTTATTATAGCTCCACCTTGACAATATGGGAAGAGGTAGGTATATGTACATTTAACACACCCGCACTCACCCAGGGAAGGATGCCAAGCTTCAACTACTGAGCACGTGTGTATCGTAAGAACTATCCCAACCTCGTCAGAACAGTAATGTTGTTAGGATAAGATAAAATGCTGTTTACTCAGGAATTAGGTCCTGAGGCTTTTATTCTGCATTTGGGGTAAGCTGGCACTGGTCCACATCAAAAGGAAGATTGGTTTATGTGACAGTTAGAAATTGAAATGGAGATTTGTTTTCTTTAAAGTAACCTGCTATTTTAAATTAGCATGAATACACTTCTATTCCCCTTGTAGGACTCTGGTCCTAAATAAGTATTTCATTTTCTCTCACGGTGTATCTACTATAAAGCCACACAATAGTTTATATTGTGGAATTATAGGTATTTGTTTCCTAGCTTTCTGAATGTAGGCTAAACAGAGTGTAGTTAAAATTTCTGGAAGGAATTTTGGTCTAGTGAATAATGATGGGCTTTCCCCATGACTTCTCTCTTCAGTATGCTGCCCGGGAAACTTCAAGCATCTGGGAATAAAAATGATTCTTGATCTCCTTCCTGCCTCTGAAATATGACCAGCTTTGTGGTTTTCTGTGGTTATTTGATCCTTTGAGCAGATTTTCACCCCAAGTTTGAGATGATTTTAAAATCTCTGACTTTGATTCATACACACTTTGAAAAAAGACTTTTGCCTTTTTGTTATTTTGTGTGCATCAGTGTTTGCCTGCATGTGTATGTATGTGCACTGAGTGCATGCCCTGGTGCCTGTGGAGGCCAGGAGAGGGTTATGAGCCAACATATGGATGCTGGGAACTGGACCTAGAGCAGAGAGTTAAGAGCAGAGAGTTCTCTTAACTGCAAAGCCTTCTCTCCAGCTCCTCCAATTCATCTTAAGTGGAAAAAGATGCAGTTCCCTCTATAGTGTTTATATTGGTGTAAATCAGTATCTCTGTGGTCCACTGATCAAAGTGATATATCAATCAGACTGGTTAGGTTTAAGTGGCAATATTTGAATCTGTCAAATACTTAATTTAATTTTTTAAAGCTTTAACAGGAATAGATATGCCATTTATCATGTCTAACTTAACAGCCTTTAAAGGACTCTTAAAAATATAAAGACTCTCTGGACATCCTGGCACATGTCTTTAATCTCAGCACTTGGGAGGAAGGACCAGGTAGATCTCTGTGTGTTCAAGGGCAACCTGGCCTACATAGTAAGTTCTAGGTGATCCAAGGCCATGTGTAAGGCCCTAAATAAAATAAAATAAAATAAAATAAAATAAAATAAAATAAAATAAAAGTAATTAAAAAGTCAGATATTCAGGATGACTTGATGATGAGGAGAAACCCTGAGCTGGAGATATTAACATTGTATTCCAGAAGTCATCGACAAGTTCAGCACCATGGCCATCCTGGACGGCAAGAAGGAGCACGTGAGCCTGACGGTGGACAACGTCCACCTGGAGTACGGGGTTGTGTATGAGTACGACAGCACGGCGGGCACTAAGTGCAACGTTGTCGAGAAGATGGTGGAGCCCAAAGGGTTCTTCACCCTCACTGCCAAGGTATGCATGACTCTGTGACCACAAGACCCTTCTAAATAAATACCCCTGCTGTGTCTGCTTTATTACGCAGAATGACTGCAGGCTGCAGCAGGCAGTTTACTCACCTCGCCTCCTTATTCAGTATGTACCAGATTCTTCTCGTTGATCCTTGGAGCTGAGTATTGAGTTAGGTGAGACTCCTGCCCAGGCAAGGCTTAACTGACATGGTGAAGACTTTGTTGTATCTTTTATCATTGCTATGCTCTTAATTCAGATCAAAGAATATAGAGTCCGGATAATTTTCACAATAGCTTTTAAAATGTATATGATTTATGAGTGCTTCATGTTATGAAATTAAAAAAAATTATGTCGAATTATTTAAGTGCCAAGTTATTGGCAAACTTAGAACCCAGTTTGTAAATAGATCCACAGGTGTCTTCTTAGTTGTTTGTGAATGATGATGTCAGGTGGTCCTTAGGTGAAAGCAGGGTGGAAGAAGGAGGAAAGATCATTAAATCTGAATGGAATGGCATGTACTATGAAAGAGGTTAATCTCCTGGCCCTTCTACTAGATCCGGATGTGCCCTCTTCACATCTGGGCTTTTAGTGTTTCAGTTGACCTTTCTATCCCTGTGATAACTTTGGCTTCACAAGTTGGAGAGATAAGATACAGATTCTTGACCTGTATTTGTTGGTTTTAATTATTGTTTCAAATATATATTGTTGAAACTGTACCTGTAACATTCATTTAAAAAATTTAAGTAGGAAAATTAGTGTCGTGGTCCAAAGGAGTTATATTTAAATAATCATGTTTTAATTTTCTAAATGTTAACTTAAAGCACACATTGTAATGTTATAAATTAGGATCACTTTAATATAACAAATTTTTCTCCACCCCCTCCCAAAGGCTAATATGAATTCCTTTTAGTTTTTTTTTTTATTATTGAAAGTAGATTTCTTTCGTATAATATATTTTGATTAAGGTTCCTCCTCCCCATCTTTTCCCATATTCTCCCTACTTCCCCATCCACCGAAATCTACACATCTTTCTTTCTCTTATTAGAATACAAACAGGCATTGATGATGATGACGATGATGATGATGATAAACAGGAAGGGACAAAATGAACAAAACAAAACGAAATGAACAGAGGCAAAGAAACAGCACTAGGAACACATAGAAAGAGTAAGACACACGCATTCTCATACACAGAAAATCCATAAAAACAAAATCAGAAACCATGACACATAAGCTAAAGATCTGTATGGATCTGTAAGCAAATGCCTAGACAAAGCATTGCGAGAACTTTTTATTTATTCAGACTCTCAGCAGGCAGTTTGCTCACCACATTCTCTGTGGCCCATCTCAGTCACAAGGCCCATCTAAGAATGAGCGCTTTCTTGTAGTTTGCTGCTGTTGTTGCTCTGCCACAGAAATGAGAGGGGAAATAGTCTGGGTGAATGTTTCTGACAGCCGCTCAGGAGATGTGTACCCCCATTAGAGTGAGCTGATTTATCCAGCAGGAAGTCTTTGAAATCGGCCTTGGCTCCCTGAGCAGGCATTTATCATCAGGAGAAGGTGAAACCCGGGATTCCAAACAGACAGGTCCCATCAGTTTACAGGGTGTGCCTTTGGGCCCCTTAAGCCGAGCAACTGCAGTGCTAACTTACGGAAATTGTACGTACTACCTTTTGAAGCTACTTTTCTTTTGTGTATATTTATTGCTACAGATTCTGGAAGCCCTAGCCAAAAGTGATGAGGGTTTCGCACAAAACTGCACCAGCCTTAATTCTTTGAATGAAGTGATAGCTGCTGACCTTCAGAGTAAATTCAGCACCATGTGCAGTGAAAGGATCGAACACGTACACCACAGGATATCCAGCTACAGAAAGGTAAATAGTCTGAACTTCTCGTGAGATTTTTATTGAAGTTATTGTTTGAGTCACATTTAAATAACCTCCTAATAAATTCTTTAAGCACTTGTTAGTATTCATTTACTGAAATAACATTTATATAATTTTCTTGATCAGTTGTCTGTTTAGGTAAAAGAATGCTTGAGACTAAATAGGGTTTTTTTTGTTTTGTTTTGTTTTGTTTTTTCCCCTTGAAGGTCCTTTGCACATATATCATAGGGTCTAGTGTTGTGTATATAAATTCCTGTGTCTCTGTTTCTATATGTGTTTTTTCTTTGGCTCTTTTTTTTCTGGTAGTTTGTTTGTTTCATCTTATTCTGGGTGGTTAGTTTTTATTTTATCTTATTTTCTTTTTATTTTTTTTAATGTTTTATTCTTTAGGTGCTTGTTTGTACTTTAATGAGAGAGAGAAAGGAAAGGTGGAGTTTTGGGTGGGTAGGCAGTCAGGGCTCTGGGAAGAGTTGGGAGGAGAAACTATAATAAAAATGTATTGTACAAAAGTTTATTTCCAATACAAATAAACATAAGAGAAAAAAATGAACAAGGAAAAAAGTCATATGAAAATAGATGCCAAGATCCTATGTAGTTGATGAAATTGAATGCTATATCTGGCCTTCTGCATCATGGTAGCCTAAATGAAAAGGTAAATAATCTGTTATACTTATCAAAATCCCTGTCATATATGTATGTATGTGTATTCATGACTGTCTTACTTAGGGTTATTATTGGTGTGATGAAATACCATGACCAAACGCAACTTGGGGAGGAAAGGAATTATTTGGCTGTGCATCATGGAAGACAGACAGGACAGGAACTGAAACAGGGCAGGAACCTGGAGGCAAGAGCAGATGCCGAGCCACAGAGGGGCCCTGCTTACTGTGTTGCTCCCCATGACTTGCTCAGCCTGCTTTCTTATAGGATCTAGGACCATCAGCCCAGGGATGGCACCACCCACAATGCACTGGGTCCTCTTCCATCAGTTAATAATTAAATAAATGCCCTACAGGATGGCTTATAGCAGAGGCATTTTCTCAGTTGGGGTTCCCTCCTCTCAGCTGACTTTAGCTTGTTTGAAGTTGACCTAAAACTAGCCAGCACAATAGCCTATCTTGGGCTCATTTTCTAAGGGAAATCTTTCATACTAGTTTTTTTTTTTTAATTTTCCAGAATTTATACTTGAACACTGTATTTACGTCATTTCCACCTCTCACTCTCCTCCCATGCTTCCCCTACTTAATCTCAAATTCATAACCTCTATTCCTCTCTCTGTTTCTCCCTGTGTGTGTGTGTGTGTGTGTACCTACTGAGCCCACTTAGCGTTGCTTGTCCGTACATGTTTAGGATTGATGTTTTGGGGCTGGATAATCTATCAGGAAGCTTATCCTTGAAGAAAACTGTTTTTACCTCTGTCTACAGCCGTTTATTGTCAGTAGCACTTCATCAAGGGCTGTGGCCTAATGAACGTTCTCCCATCCACATTGCTTAAGCAACCACTGTGTTGAGCTTTCATGAGTGTGTATCGCTGTCAAGATCACTCTTTCTAGCAGCAGATATCCTGTTCTTCTGGCTCTTAGAATCTTTCCTCCCTCTCTTCTGTGATTTTTTTTTCCTGACTCACAGATGTAGAGGTTACATTGTAGATGTACCAGATGAGGCTGGGTCCCCAAGGTCACGAATTCTCCTCATCTAGACCAGTTGCCGCACCAGGTTTTGTAGAGGCAACACGACGAAGTGTCATAGGTAGTGCTCATGAACAGGCCTCTGCAAAGAATTATGAAAATGAATGGAGTACTTTGCGTGGCAGACTATTTCAAGCGCTTAGGTCCTTGGCTCTATGTTCCATAACAAAAGCAAATTTGTTGTAAGATGGGGCAGGAAGAAAATACGTGGCAGCATGGTCCTACATGTTGCCAGTAGGGGCACAAGGAAGTGTCAATTGAGGATTCCTGGCCTCTCACACTTAGCAGCTTATTGAAAAGGAAGATCAGAGTGCCTGAAGTGAGAGTAGGCATGCCACTATCACCAGCTGCAAGTCCCACCAAGATGACTGAACGCACTGGCAACATACATCGTGCTTGTGTGAGGTGCTGTCTAGAGCTCTGTAGTACGCAACAGTTTGGCTGTCTTTTACAGGCATCAGGCAATGTGTGAAATAGTTTACAGAATTATTTTACTTCTGTGTGTATGAGTGTGTGTGTGTGTGTGTGTGTGTGTACACCACATGTGTGTGGATACCTGAAAAGGACAGAAGAGGTCATTGGGTCCCCCAGAGCTTAGTTACAGAGGGTTGTGAGCCACTGATGTGGGTTCTAGGAACTGCTCCGGGAAAGCAGCAAGATCTCTTAATATTTGAGGCATCTCTCCAGTTCCCTAGATACATAATTTTACCTAGAATTATTACCAGGAATAATACATTTCCTGTCTCCTTGGTAAAGTAACTGAAGTTCCAAGTTGTCAGGGAACTTGCCTGGCACAGCTGGCAACAGCACTGGTATTTGGAGCTTGTTATTATTATTTTTTATTCTATTCTAACAATGGTTATAGTTTGCTTACCTACATTTGATGTTGTATTATCTTATACAGTTTATATGCCACACAATGTGGGTCAGACTATAAGAATAAAAAAAAAGAATAATAGGGTCTCTGGAAGGGCAAATCACTGGTTTGAATAGTCAACAATAGTATCTCTTATAACGAAAAGACATGTGAGGTGGGATGTGTGTACTGGCTGGTTTTATGTGTCAACTTGACACAAGCTACAGTCATCAAAGGAGGAGCCTCAGTTGAGGAAATGCTTCCATGAGGTCCAGCTATAAGGCATTTTCTCAGTTAGTGATCAGTGAGGGAAGGGCCAGCCTGTTGTGGGTGGTGCCATCCCTGAGCTGGTGGTTCTGGGTTCTATAGAAAAGCAGGCTAAACAAGCCATGAGAAGCAAGCCATTAAGCAGCACCCTCCATGGCCTCTGCATCAGCTCCTGCCTCCAGGTTCCTGTCCTGACTTCCTCCAATGGTGGATCATGATCCAGAAATAGAAGCCAAATAAACTCTTTCTTCTTCAACTTGCTATTTGGTCATAGTGTTTCATTGCATCCATTGAAACCCTCACTAAAGCAGTATGGTAGTGCATATCTTGAATCTTAGCACTCAGCAGGGAGAGGCAGATCAATCTCTGTGACTTTAAGGCCATTGTAATCTATACAGGGCTCCAGGCTACCAGGGCTATAGAATGATGAGGTCCCGTTTCAATGACAACGATGACCACCACAACAAAGGCATGTCGGAGTGACAGGGACAAATGACATTCAAATATTATAGACATGAAACTGGACCAACTGATGGAGAAGATGGATTATTGCCTGGATTAGGAGGGGAGATTTGAGTAGTAATCTCAAATTTGAGATCTGAGTAGTTGTAATCATTAGAAAAATGAATGAAATCACAGTTTTCTAGTGAATGTTTGATTTAAAACAAGGCAGTAAAGTCTTCTTGGGTGAGAGTAGGAGTGGAAATGTTTCAGGTTTTTTTCAACCTGCTTAGATGTAAGCTAGTGGTAACCTGGAATGGTTAAAAGCTCGTGAGATGAAAGATGGAAATATCAACCCTGTCTATGTGTGGGAAGCAAGTCACATGGATATGATGACTTGGTTATGGAAGATTAAGGTCCTGTCATTTCTTATTTCCTGAAATAAAAAAAATAGGTTGGAATAGGGTAAGGAGTATGGGTGCAATGGGCTCAGATGCATATACTGCCAAAATTGTGAAGAGACATCATATTGAGGGGTTTAAAGTATTTTGTATTTCCATGGAATTAAATGGGGTCCTGTGACATTTGAAGGGAGAAATGGCCAGCTGAGTGGGCAGTGCTCACAGGTGATAAATATCACCCCACTGAATTACAGACTGCACTGTGGCATGTGTCACTGGCTGAGTCTCAAAGCTCTGTGCATGCTGAGTCGTGTCCTGCTTCTGCCTGTAGGAGACAACTCTTGTCTCAGATCATGTGGCTGAGGAGATATCTGAATGCTTTCTCACTTACTGTAAAGCAAGAAAAGTCAGGTCACTGTCTAGGCTGTGTTCGTTGTCTCACTTGACCATAAATAAACTTAAAATAGTTGGCTATCTTTTTCATTATAGGAAGATGCAAGGTTAGCACAAAAGTATGTCAAAGACCTTTCCAGTTTGAATGGGATATTGACAATTCGAGTAGCATGTAGAAGATTAATTAGTTCAATGAATCTATCAAGTTCATGTCAACAAGAAACAAAGCCTTTGTGAATGCAGTTTTAATACCTACCTATTTATTTTTGAAGCTATTATTAGCAACATTTTTTTTCTTCCAAATGAAGGCTTCAATGTGTTTCTTTTTGTGAAATAAACAATATCCACGGAACTCATAGATCAGTGTCTTGTTAGCTGTTGTCAGAGAAGCTTCATTCTAAAACAGATGGGAACAAATACAGAGACCAACGGTGCTGCCATTCTGGGCACAAATCCGGGAACCTTTGAAGACATAGGTCTTCATACCTAAACCATAACATTAATTAGGTTTCTAACAGATGTATTTGGTACACACATCAAATTCATACTAGACATTCCAGGATGGGAGACAGTGCTGGTTTCCTGAGGCATTAGGATAGACTTGGCAGAGAAGCTTCTTCCATGCTAATTTTGAATTAGTTCAGAAATAGACCAACACAGGGCTATGATTTCTTTCTGGGTATGGGCTCAGGAACTTCTGTTGTGATATGAACCTGAGATTCTATGTTACTGCACCCAACCCTACCATCTCAAACCAACCCTAGTGTCTAGTCCTACCCCTGACCATTTCATTGCATCAACCTGCCCTTCCCCTTCTGAGACTTTATTAACCTTTCTGATCACCTACCTTGTTTATTATGTGTTGGTTACACAGGCATCATTCCGCATATCTATACTTGTGATGCATATGATTGTTATATGACTGTTTTCTGTATAACAGTATGCACAGTGTTTGCCTGTTCCAGTCCTAGAGTGTGTACTTCACAGGATAGGAAGTTGTGTCTCCAATGTTTAGCTCGGAGCTTTAAACAGATACTTCTCTTTTTGACTAGATGGATGGTTGGTTGAAAGATAAGGCAAGAGTATCTTAACCTTTAAGTGTGGTTGCTGTCATGACATAAGAAAATTTGTTGCTGTGCCTCTCTGTGCCATGAGACCTCAGATCAGACTTTAATTTTGAAATGACAGTAGAAAAGAACTTGGGGTTGAACTTTTGCATCTAAGCCTCCCTTAAATCCTGGATGTGTCTCGGTAGGAAGTAAGGATCTAGAACCAGAATTCCTCTGAGTTCCTTAATTCTTCGCAGTGTACACAGTCATCAAGTTTGGTGGTAATCTTGTTAATAATTCCTTGTATTTCAGGCCATCTTCATTCTCATCCCCACTGTATTGCTTCCCTGAACAATACAGCTAGATACAAGATATGATTTGTAGTAAGAACTTTATAATTCTGTTTTTTTATAAAAAAACATAGAAATATTATAGAAATATGTTTTTGTTTTAATCCCAGGTGTGGAGATATGGGGCTGCTTCGCAGCAGCTCATGATGATTTGCCTCGTGCTCTAGCAGGAATGCGGTTTTGCCAGCTGCAGAGAGTTTTTGATGGTGTGTCGTTTGAAATTCTGGGAACTTTTTAGGGTATATATAAAGATTAGAGTCTCTATAGGTGTGCTGCTGGTTGGTGATTGCATGCTGTCGATCGTGGTTTGTTAAGTAGTTAGGTGCAAAGAAGAAATTAGATATCTTGATGACAAAGATCAAGCTTGCCCTAAGGAATTCAGTGCCCATAATCAGCAGGAAGTAGTTTAAATAATGCTACCTCTTTTCCCCTCTATTCTTTTCCTCTTCTATTTAGTGTTAGCAGGGTTGAAGGGGTGACAGAAAAGGGATAAAGAAGTGCAGAAGAAAGAAGAATCCCAATGTAGTTAATTTTGGCTACAATAAATGGCTTAACATGCACATTATACTATGTATGTATATATTTTTATATACCTCTGTATGCATATAAGATGGGCTTTATCCCAGTTGTGAGCTTATGCTTATGGAATATGATTTTTTAAATATTTGAATTTAACTTAAAATGTCAAAAAAATGGCCAGTGATGGTGTCAATTTTTGTTCTTCTCAATGCCAAAATTATTAGTCAGCTTACCAGCATGAGAAAGTAGGATCATGGCTGTACTTTTAGGAAGAAGAGGTCAGTAGGATTATTTAATACAAATCTCCCTTTTCCGTGAGAGATAAAGATACCGAGTTTCCAAAAGACATCAAAGGCCTTTGAAACTACAATTCATTTGGATTCTCTGAAGTACCTACTTCTTGTACCACAGATGATACCCCATAGATCTTTTCTTCTTCCAGCTGAATGAGAGTAGAGATTCTTCCTAATTATGAGGAAGGCTGCAAGTTCCCTATGATTTGTAGGCAGGGGGATGGAAACTGGCCTAGAATTCATGGAAAACTAATTCCTGATGGTTTTCTAGAGCTGCTGAAGAGAAAAATGTTTGGCCCTGAATAAGAAACATATAGACACACTGAAAATCTTGTACAAAGCCCAGAGTGAGTGGGTAATATTTTGGAAGAGCTATGTACATGCCAGACTGAATTTAGGGAACAAGAGAGAGAGCTTTGAATAAGGGAAAACATACTTAGTGGGACAAGAATGTTTGCCTCACAGACCACAGAAGGAACATAATGAGTCCATTGCAAGCCTCTGCAAGTTTAGGATCACAGAGTAGCCATGCTTGGACACCTTACTGTCAATGGCATGAAAGAAGAGCACAAGACCAACTTCTGGCTGATCCCAGCTATTAAGCTCCACCGTCTGGCAGGATGTATGGGAAGCTCAGGCATCCTGACACTCTGAGCCAACACCTCCGCAGCTTACTGCTGGATCTGCAGACCCATGCTTTGGGTGGCTTTCGGATGGTGCACGGGATAATCCCATCTTTTTCTGCCCTTGACCACCTATAGCTGTACTCTTTTGCTGACTTGCCTAGTTTAAAAAACCTGCTTCCTGCTCTGGTTAGTTTCTCTATTGGGCTCTCTCAGCTACTGGGACCCATGGGACCAAGTGCTAGGTTATATTGTCACCAAGGTTTATTCTCTCTGACACCTAACCCAGAGTCAGCTGATCCATACACAGTTTGCTTTATTGGGATGCCTGGGCATGGAAACGGCCATCTAAATTCTAACATTACAATCTATTTTACTTCGTTCAGGTTGACGTGCCTTAATTTTCTTTTGCTATTTGTTATGGAGGAAGTGTGACTGTGTGTTCAACTGGTTCCCATTTCCTGCTTAATTTACAGTTCTCCCGAGTGCTGAAGAACAGAGCCTGGCCCACCTTTAAGCAGGCCAAACCTAAGATCTCCCCACTGCACAGCAGTGATTTCTGCCCGACCAACTGCCATGTCAATGTGATGGAAGTTTCTTACCCTAAAACATCAACTTCCCTGGGGAGTGCCTTTGGAGTGCAGCTGGATAGTAGGAAACATAGTCATCATGATAAAGAAAGTAAATCTGTAGAGCCAGGTATGTCAGCGTCTGTGATTTTGTCAACTCATGAATAGGAGTTTAGCAATGTGTTGCTAAGCTATTCCTGCATCTTAAAATTTGGTAGATTTCCAGGGCACACAGAGGTCTGTTTTCATAAAGAAAGGATTCTTGGCTATACTTGCTTAGATTGTTTCATATAAGTGTATATAGAATAAGGACAGTTACACTTTCAGCATTTCCCTTTAAGAAGGGGGATTGCTCTTGCTTTCCTTACATGTATGGCTTATCTTGCTGTGAAAGGTTTATATCTGAAATGAATCTATAGCCTTGATAACAGTTCAAAAGAAGGCTGCATGAGGCCACTGTGAATCACTGCAATAGTTCAAGTGAATTAACCATACTTGTAGACTTTATTAACAATGCCTCACAAATTTTAATTTCTGAATTAAGTTTAACGCTGAATGGACATTTTCTTGTATATGAGCTTGGACTTTAGAAGTACTGGACTCCATAAGTAAAAGTTAAATGATGTAGTGATTTCATTTCTTAGGGAAACTGAACCCCATGGTGTATATTCAACACACAATCACAACCATGGCGGCCCCTTCCGGCCTGTCATTGGGACACAAAGATGGCCATGGCCTCCGATACTTGTTGAAAGAAGAAGACTTAAAAACTCAGGACATCTATCAGAAGCACCTGGGCAAGCTCCAGGCTGCAATGAAGGAGGTGGAGATATGTGTTTGTCAAATCGATGAGTAAGTATGCTGTGTCATGCACAGCAATTTGCCTAAACAAAAGTTACACAATACATTGTTTTTGAAATTTGTGTTCAAAAGCTGTGGGAATTTTGTGCTGACCGTAAAGAACTTTTCCATCCCATCTTATCAATGGTATAAAAAGACAATTCATATGGAGAGGAATTTTAAATAATCATTTAATTTCAAGAGAAAGAGGGACACAAGAACAACACTTAAGTCTCATTATAAAAAAAATTGAAACATATATCCAAAGCTGGGCCCGCTGCACACGTCTGTAATCCTAGCTACTTGTGAAGCAGAAGGAAGAGGATCCAACTGGGCTATACAGGGAGCTCAAGACCAGCTGGAGCAATTTAGCAAGACCCTGTCTCAAATAAAAAATGAAAAAAGGACTGGGGAATTCTGGATCAGTGTTAGAACATTTGCCTACATACATGAGCCCTCACATCCAATTTTGAGTACCAAGCAGGGTACATTTAAGAATGTCCTAATGTATATGGCAATTTCCTGGTGTTGTATTTTGCAGTTCAGGAAAACGTATTAGAGTGGATGCTTCTCAGATATTCCTAACTGGTACACCATATAACATAACAAATACTTAACATGTAGTAAGTAAATTAAAGCAAAACTATGTGTTTTTAAGATCAATTCTTTTTTTTTTTTTCTATTCTGATTGAATTAATGGGGCAATAATTTGGAAGTTTTAGCCAAGAGAAGATAAAGGCAGTTCACAAGCTCCTTTGTAACTAGACTCATTGATCATTTTACATAAGAATTTGAGGCGTGAGATGGCCATGAGCCACGGGGGTGTGTCATACCCTGCTGTGTGACTGTGTCTCTATCTAGCAGTTCAGTATCCTGAAGAAAAGGTGGCTTTTGAAAAGTCCAATTTCTCGTGCATGGAAGTAAATGTGTTATAATAATAAATTTCAAATTTATGTTGAAAGTGTAGAAACTAATAAGGAAAGCAATCCACATAGTACCAAATATGCTTGCTCATGTTTTCAAGGAGTAGGCATTATTCAATAGACATGGTAAAATTCTTAAAATATATAGAGGCCTTTATCGTGCATGCTTTATAAAGTTGTTGAATTGTTAGCAGATATGAAGTAAATAGTTTATATACATTCATCACCCTATACTTCCAAAATACTTAGAACATATTCCACAATTTTTAATTTTTTTTCTCTCATATATTACATCCCTACTTCAGTTTTCTTTCCCTCCTCTCCTTCCAACAATACCCCTACCCACCCACTCCTCCTACCTTTCTCTTCAGAAAAGGGCTGACCTCTCAGGGATATCCAACAAGCATGGTATATCAAGTTGCAATAAGACTGGACAAGGCAACCCAATATGAGGCAAAAGGTCCCTACAGCAAGCAAAAGAGTCCAACAGCCCCTGCACCTGCTGTTAGGAGTCCCACGAGAAGACCAAGATACACAGCTATAACATATGTGCAGAGGGCCTAGGTCAGACCCATGCAGGCTCCTGGTTGGTTCAGTTTATGTGAGCCCAGATTAGTTGATTCTGTGGGTTTTCTTGTGATGTCCTTGACCCCTCCACCTCCTAAAATTCTTCCTTACCCTCTTCAGCAGGATTTCCTGAGCTCCTAATGTTTTGCTGTTGGGTGTCCGCATCTGTTTCCATCAGTTTCTGGATGAAGCCTTTCTGATGACAATCGGGCTAGGCACCAGTCTATGAGTATAGCAGAAATCATTTCATTGACTTTTTTTTTTTTTTTTTTTTTTTTTGCCAGTCATGTTGAGTTCTATCATAGTTCTCTGGGCTATCCAGACTCTGGTTCCTGTCTCCCCAGGCATGTTAGGATAGACTCCCTCCCATGGCATTGGTCTCAAGCTGGAACAGTCATTGGTTGGCTACTCCCTCAATTTCTGTGCCACCTGTACCCGGGCACATTTTGTACGTAGATTCGTAAGTTCTTCCTTTAGCCCTCCTTGTTACTGAGGCTCTCTGGGTCTGTGGATTTTAACAGGGTTGTTCTTTACTTTACAGCTAATATCCACGTATAAGTGAGTGCATATTATGTTTGTCTTTCTGGGTCTGGATTTCTTCACTCAGGATGAAATTTTTTCTAGTTCCATTTGCCTGCAAATTTCATGATGTTATTTTTTAATAGCTGAATAATATTTTATTGTGTAAATGTATCCCATTTTCTTTATCCGTTCTTTGGTTGAAGGACATCTAGGTTATTTAGTTTCTGACTATTCTGAACAAAAGTGCTATGAACATAGTTGAGCAAGTGTCTTGTGATAGGATAGAGCGTTCTTTGGATATATATATGAACAGGAGTGGTATAGCTGGGTCTTGAGGTAGATCTCTTCACAATTTTCTGAGATACTGTCATGTTGATTTTCAAAGTGGTCATTCAAGTTTCTATTCACACCAGCAATGAAGGAGTGTTCCTCTTCCTCCACATGCTCACCAACATGATCTAACTTTTGTGGTTTTGATCCTGAACATTCTGACAGGTGTAAGATGGAATCCCAGAGTCACTTTGATTTGCAGTTCCCTGATGGCTAAGGGTGTTGACATATTTTCAAGTTCTTCTTGACCATTTGAGATTCCTCTGTTGAGAACTCTATGTTTAGCTCTGTACCCCATTTTTTTTATCTGCTGTAGGAAAATGTTCTGATGGTGGCTGAACAAGGCACTGGTATATGAGTTTAGCAGAATAGCATTGGAAATAATTTTTTCACTACTTTTTTTTTTTAAAAGTATTTGGCTTTATTCCAGGTCCGTGGGTTGTTTGGTCTCTGGTTTATGATTGCCCAAGCTCTGTTAGGTATGGGATCCATCTTGTGGCCTGGCCTTCAGTCAAATTGGAAATCGGTTGGTTGCTCTTACAAGCTTTGTACCACTATTGCCCTTGCACATTTTACAGGCAGGACATCATTGTAGATCAAAGGGTTTGTGGCTGGTTTGGTGTTCACATTTTTCTTTCAGTAGCATAGATAGTACTTTATTGTACCAAAGATGCTAGGAGTTAGGGGTGACTATATAGGCACCAGCATGGTTTCTCCATTTTCAATGAGTTGTGTAGGTGTTGTCTTTAGCAATGGAGACTTGCTGTGGGTTGTGCAGAGCAACCTATTGTCTTGGTAACAGCGTTGGTTGTTTAGGAATTCCCATGGGAGTCCTTTGGCTAACAACTTAATTGGCTATAACCTAGTTCTGGACTGTAGGCTTTATTTGGTGGCAAGAGATTTCAATTGGGATTCTATCTCCCCCATTATTTGTCAATTTTATTTATATAGCCTTCATATATGCATATATTCTAAGCTTTCTGATCCAGTTTATTTGTATTCTCTATGTTTCTTTTACCTGGATTGGTGTATCCTTCATTTTGTTAGGAAAATTTTCTTCAATGATTCTTTTTTTAATGCTTTGTTTTTTTGATATGAATTTTGATATGAATTTTTTCTTCTTTTCCTATTATTCTTAAGTTGATCTTCTCATAGTGTCTTATTTTTTTTTTATATTTTGTGCCATGAATTTTACAGATTTAACATTTTCTGTAACTGATGTATCCATTTCTTCTATTGTGCCTTCAGTGCCTGAGCCTCTTTCTTCAATATCTTATGTTCTGGTATTGAAGCTTGCCTCTGTAGTTCCCATTTGAATTTTTCATTTCCAGATTTCCCTCAGTCTGGGTTTTTTTCATTGATTCTGTTTTCAATTTCAGGTCTTGAAAGGGATTCATTCATTTCCTCTTTAAAGACCTCTATCATATTTATATAGGTTATTTTACAGCCTGTTTTTTTTTTTTTTTCTCAGGCTTCAGCCATGTTGGAATATTCAGGGCCTGCTATGGTAGTGTTTCTGAACTATAAGGGAGACATATTGTGCTGGCTGTTACTGATTGTGTTTTTATTCTGGTGTCTAGGAATTTGGGAATGGGAAGATTGTAATTGTAGGTGCTGATCTGGTATTGTCATGGTTGGATAGGTGTTTATTTCCTTTGTTTCTGTTTCCTCTCTGATTCTTAGGACAGTGTAGTGGCTGTGTGTTACCTGGAAGGAAAGTCTTCAGGGGTCCGCATAGATGTGGATCCCTGGGTTCTTCCAGGTAAAGCCTGTTTCAGGAAGCTGACATTTAGCTGGTTGACTTCACGGGAGGGATAGCAGGATTGAGGAAAGTCAGGGTGTTCCATCAGGATTTGCTTAGTTAGTACCCTGAGAGTTGGGAGGGGCAGCGTGAGCAGCAACCACATCAAGGGATGAGACTGAGGGGCTTGATTTGGAAGAGCGGAGGGAGAGGTGAAGCTCTACAGTTAGCTACCTGTGTCCCTGGCCAGAGTCCTGTGAGTATCCAGGAAGTCCCTGCTGGAGCTGGGGGCTGAGACAAAGGTATGAGTTGGACAGAGGTTGGTAGGGGAAAATCTGTGGGACCTGCTGGATGTGTATGGAGTGGTAAGGCCGCCACAGATGCTCTTCTCCAGAGCTGAGGATGAGACGGGGACATTGGCTCTGGAAGAGCAGAGGAATGGCGGCAAGCTCTGGTCAGTCTCCCTGCTTCTCTGGCAGGGGGGCAAGTAGAAATATTTTTGTGAAAAAAAAAAGTGAATTAAGGTATTGCTTCACTTGGTTTTTGATCTTTCTATTTAAGGAGCTAGTTTTAGCAATGCCTAGGTTTCAGTGAACTGAAACAAATTAAAATGATACATTCTCAGTTTGAAATTCCCCTATTCTGTTATTATAAAAACCTTTCCCCACTTCTGGGTGCTTATTCAAAAAGTAACAAGGAATGAACAATAGCTGGAGAAGTGCATTTGGCCTTCTTCGTGAACACTGTGTAATTTAATTCTAAATATAAACATCTCCCACATAATTTGATCTGCAGCCTAATTTCTTTAAAACAATGCAGTTGTCCAAATGTCTGTGTTCCCCGTTGACCTTAATACTCAGAGATGCTACAGTGTAGTTGAGCTTAACAAATTATATAAAAGGCTTGTTAACAGATCATTTTCTCTCCAT